AACAGAGCATTCACCAGTTTGAAGATTTATAAAGAGGGGTGACGGAGAACGAAACAGTTGGCATCGATGTGGTCATGTTGTCACTCAGTAAAGCTCTGAAACAGCTGTCTATATTAGATTTTGTTTCTGCTGCAGACGACATGCCTTTCCCTAACACCAGAATAACATTTTGATACTACAAATCAAAAAAACTTAGGTTTAGAACTGTTTGCAGAGCGTAGCTTTACAAGAGACCTCATCATGATTTCAGCCTTTGGATTGGCTCCTAATTCACCAACAAAAACAGCAGTGTGGGTCTGTCATGTATGACTAAAATGTTTTAAGGGGTGTGATGGGGTTGTAATATGTGGTCATTTATGTTTTGTAGTGTGTGAAAATATGGTCCAAGAAATAGTCATTATTTATTACTCATTACCTGTGTAACCACCTAAGGGATTACCTTGTCACTTGCTATATTATAGGCTTTTTAGCTAAACCTTCAAAATTGACAGTTTCAGTCATTCTTATCTTTAACGATTGCAGTTGCTGCACTTCCGAGTGAGTGATTCGCAAAACATTAACATGACGCTGGAAACTATTCTTGGCTTTCAGTGTAAAAATAGAACAAATTAGAGCACTTCAGTCTGTCAGCATTCATTTGTTTTACTTATTTACATTTAACAGGGACCATCCTGATCACGTCATGTACAGTAACTATAAAATTTAGCTAAAGCTTTTGTCATTTATCCAATTTACTTTATTTTGTCTGCAACAACTATAGAGACATTTACTCATTTTTGGGAAAACAAAGATATTTATGGTAATTTGATTTGTCATTTTAATGGTCACTGTAAGTAAGAAGCTGTTACATTGCGTATTATAGCTGCACTCCATCTAAATGACTTGCAGTAATGTTCAGCAATAAATTGATGGATGAAGCCAGCAATAATAGATGAAGGGTTTGTATGTTAGTGTGCATATTTCAAACATCAGCATATTGTGTATCTACTATATCATAATGAAATAGCTAATAATGGCAACAGACACAAAGTGTGTATGTGTGTGTGTGTGTGTGTGTGTGTTTGAGAACTGATGTGCTTGACATACTAACCATGCTTTTGATATGAGGCAGCATGTGCATTCACCCAGAGCATAGTGTGATTCTGGGAACACTTTGTAAAAATGTCAATGGAATGTAGCAATATTTAACATTGTTTATCGGCACTTTGCAAAAATTTGATTGGTCAGGGTTTAATTTTCTGTCCTCTTAGTTTCTCAATTGATTTTACATTGAATTAAATATCACTATATATATCAATATTGCAATGCAAAAGTACACGTATCATGCCAGAGGATTTTATGGTTCACTTTTAATCATAATACAATTCAGTAATATGCCGTAATTTTTATTTTTATTTTTATTTTTTACTTCATGTTATAATGATACATTGCAGTAACTAAAAATAGTTTCTAAATTATTATTTTAAGGTCTTTGTGCTGTATTTTGAGGTTTAGGATGAAGATGTAGTGCTAAGTTTTTGAGGCCAATAGATTTCAGGCAGTAATTTTTTTATTTAGTACAGCATAAGAGAGCAAACAGGCTCCTTTTGATGTTTAGTACTATGCTGTATACAGTATGTACTGTGTCTAAGCTCATTGCGACACAGAGGTCATTCATCCTCCTGAACGACCTCCATGCTTCCATTAGGTTAACCAGGAAATGGTGTTAGGCACTGACAGGAGTCCATAGACTGTATGAACGACTCCTCTCCTCTAATCTACATGATGACACGCACATAGATTAGATTGATATAACTGATGGATCCTTTAGTTGGATGTGTGTAAATGGATCCTGGAGAACGGTCGCTGTGGTGGGGTTGTCAACCTTTGGCGACATCACTGACATCATGTACATCCCTGTGACATCACTTAATGTGATTGGGTGCTGTGTGGGCCTTACTGCACGTGCTCAGTCACTGCCTCTTTGCCTCACAGGGATTTTGTTGTTCTGCCTTTACCAGTGACATGTCACACACATGCATAAAACATAATGACAGTGCAACCCCCCCCACCCACATGCACGTGTGTGGTGCCACCCACATAACACAATACATAAAAGACACAATGACACACACAACACACGAACAATGGTACTACCTGATAACAAACACGTAATCACATACAGTACAGAGAGTCATTATTGTTTTTATCAATCGAGATTAGTTTTCTATTGATCCAGCTCATGATAATTTCTAGATGTCCTAATTTCCATATATATCAGATATATTCCTGAGAGTTTTAGAATATGAGACGACCTGCATTTCAGGAGAATATCAAAAATCTGTAATGCAAATGGTCTAATTTTGTTGAACAACTGTGATTCACTTTGTTGTGTTTTTTTTTTCTAAGCAAAACTGCAAAGTTGCATTTGTACTACATTGTTATTGAAAAAAAATGCCCCGTACCTGTTTTAAAGTGTGGGTAGGCGATATAACAATATCTCGGGTGAAGCAGTATTGCCATGCAGTTCATGTCATATGGGGCCTATTATTTACAGCATGTCTGTTAGAATAAATAAGCAGAAGTAAGTTTTGTCAATGTTGGATTGGATATGATCTTAGAATATGTGGGTTGAAGAAACATGAACTTCCATCCATCCATTATCTATACACCGCGTAATCCTCACTTGGGTTGCGGGGAGGCTGGAGCCTATCCCAGCTGACTTAGGGCAAAGGCAGGGGACACCCTGGAAAGGTCGGAAACTTGAACTTAATTTATGTATTTATTTGAACTTAACTGACTTTCCAGAAAACTGAATGCATCACAGTTGGCTTCTCAAATTTAGATTAAATTGAATTCCCTGTTGTCTTTGATCATAACTTGACACCTTTTTTTAGTGTTTATTTGCCGTGAAGGACAGATATAGTCATTTTTGAAAACCCAGCATACTTGGAAAACTTGAAACGTTCTGTTTATCATGGTATATGTTTGACATACACTGATGGAGCAGCATCTCATATTCGCTTATTAGTGGTATTTTTATAGTAATCCTTATTGTGGTGTGTCATTTGCTCTTTATATTAAACAGACAATCTAAAACGTGAGAATCTCCCTGTTTTTATTAGAGTAATCTGGTGGTATTTATCTGTACATCCAGTGGAACATCATAAAAAAAATTGTAAATAGTTAATTGGGTGAGCCTCACTTTCCATAATGTTAACTAATACTAAACAAGGTTCATGCTACAGCCCTAAATCTGAACTCTCTGTACCCATGGAAATGTTTGTGTAAAAGTTTACATCTGTTCATGCAGCTATAGACTTTCAATGCAGCATTTTCTGAAATAGTTCATTAAATAAAAGGAAACACATTTGATGGTAAAGTTCAGATTCATTATGTTAAATCAAGTAGCACCATCACTGCAGCTTATTTGCTGAAAGCTTATCAAATGCAACAGTCAATAGCTTCCTGGTCCTCCTTGCTTCCTTTACAGTGTTCAGATTCATGAAATCTCTGCCTCTTTCTCCACTCACACCTCCCCTTTGTGTATGTTGCCCAGGTGAAAGCTTTTTGTGTCTTGGTAAAAATGATTTGCAGTAGTAATCTATGGGGGGTGTTTAGGTAATATCAGCTCTTATGTCCAGTCTCAGTATTTTTTACTCTTGACTATCGGCACAGACACAAAGTGTCACATTCTCATACAGTCTCAATCTCCTGTTCAGACTGAAACATCACATCATCACCCAGGGGTATTTTCTGCATTGGCTGTAACATAGACTGATAAAGAATAAGTGCTGGCTACAGAACTATATGTGCGTTGATGTTTAAAGTAGGATGTCTGCTTCCTTTATGCATACCATTTTAAAACTGTGTAAAATTAGCACATTTATTTTTTTTCCAATAGCTATAAAGAATAGTTTCTCGACATATGCTGCCATACTGACTGACTCTACCTCATATCACACATCATCTTGACAGTGGCACTGTGACCATAGACACTAACTTACAGGAGTCATTTGGTATTTGGAAAATTGCCATAGGTTTTAATTGATTTCCTCTATTGGTAATGTAGCATATGCTTAATTTTTTCTAGTCATCTCCCTTATCTGCATTTCAGATAATTCATCAGTAATGTCTCACTCTATGATTGTAGAAGTAGCTATGTGACTACAATTGCTCTTTTCTTCAGCTGTTTTTACATTTAAATTCATATATAAATTGCATATCCATCCATTATCTATGCACTGCTTTATCGTCTGTGGGGTCGCCTTGGGAGGACTGGAGCCTATCCCAGCTGACTTAGGGCGAAGGCAGGGTACACAATGGAAAGGTTGCTAGTCCGTCACAGGGCCTCATAGAAAGACAGACAACCAAGCACATAGAAAGAGCCGAGACCGGGAAGCAAACCCAGGACATTCTAGCTGTGAGGTGACAGAGCTAACAACCTTAATAGCATATGAACAAGTCTAGTTTTTGTTTAAAGTCACTGCAAAAATGTTCAAATATTGAACTCCAGACATACTCTCACTTTAGAGTTAACATTAACCCATCTTTCCATGAATAGCACTTGCAGTCTGGTACTATAGTAGAGAAGTGCAGCTTTTATGTAGCCTTGAAAAGTACCAAATTATATCTTGCACTGACTGAACTGGCTTGTATATTCTCAGTGAAACCTCCCACATCTTGTCTGTGATGGCATGTCCAGACCCCCCTACAAGGATGTGAACATGTATCATTCATGCTGTGCTGTACTTTCCAAAATCCACATAGTAAAACGGGCACATTCCAGAGCCATTAGTTGCGAAAAGGTCACTGAGCAGAGAGAAGAGTAATCTGAGTGCATGTGCCTCTTATTTTATTTAGATTATATAAAGTAACTGCACACAACATTGAATCTGAAGTTAAAGACGAAACATTTTACAATGTGTAGTCTTGGCATCAGTTTTAAATGTTAAATTATTTGGTGTGTTCCTCTGGTCATCTAAATTCAATTCATTTTTTATTTCCTCACTGTGTTTCAGGTTCCATCTGAAAGAAGAAAACACGTGAAAGAGTGTTGGTGCATCGTCTTACATCCCTGTGTGGTTATATGCACCACCATGAAACACCAGTCTATCTCACGATGGCTGAGCCAGCTGGGACTGCCACAGTACTGCACAGCGCTGGAGCAGGAATATGATGGCGTAGAGGTAACACAAGTACATGTACTGGCCCAAACCAGATGTGTTTGGCTTCTTGGTTTATGAAGGACTCTCAAAGGAGCTGTAGGATAATGCACCTGCAAAGCTACAGGAGCAAATCCCAAAGCTTCTTGAGAAAATCTGCATAGTAAACAAATATTATCTGTTGTTTAAAATGTTTCCCCAAACGGTCAGTTGAACAGTCTCCAGCTGTTTGTCTTGCAGCTCCTGAGTAATTAGTCATGAGTTATCATGATCAGTATCCTTTTGGCCAAGGCATTCTGGAATCTGAAAAGAAATTTGATTTAGAATTTGCATGACCATGTCTCAGTGTTTTTTGGAAACTGATTTTTGGTGGGTTAAATGTTAGTACCCGAACAAAATCCATACACAGAAGGCATCATTGACATCGTCCATGTAAATTGTAGCATGAATACGATCAATAATTCCACAGCTGTTTGATAACAGCATGTTAGTTTTATCCACAAGTTTGAATGAGCTGATCCTTTAACCAGTCTGTTTTCAGTACACGTTACAAAACTTTTCTGGCAAAGTCAACAGGCAGAGTGGTTATTAAGAGTGTTTCCCACAGCAGTCTGCTGAAGCAGCCTAATAAAACTTTATCACATGACTGTTTCACTGAATGGACGCTGATGTAGAGGCTGTTTTAACATCCAGCCATTAACCAGCTTCATTCTGAATGTTACACAGCCATTGGCTAGGAAATGAGATTGATGAGCCAATAAGACATGAATTATTCCATTACCTCTTGCTAATGTTTACCCAGAATGCCCTGGTGTAATTAGTAAAGGCATAATGGGAGAAGCTGTAGAAAAAGAAGGTTACAGTGGCAGGAGAGAGATAGGGAAAAAGCACGGTGAGAGGCAAAGACAAGAAAATGGTTGTTCTAGTCTTGTTTAACCATAATGGAGTGTAGATTTACAGTAAGTTGATGTGTGAAATGTTCTCTCAAAATTCAACAGTTAAATGATTTTCTGAGCTCGAATCTCCATACAACCAGTAAATTATGTTGTAGACTGAATGAACTTTCTTCCGCGATGTCCTTTTTCACCATCCTCCATTCATAAAGAACTCAGTGCTGCGTTGCTAACCTTCCCCTGGATATTATAACAACAACGTGCGGTTCAGTACCTCTGAACCATCCAGGCTGCTTGTTAGCTTGTTCCCAAACCAACTCAGCCGACATCACTCATCATCATCATCATCATTCATCAACACTGCCAACAAATACATGCACATAGTGTCCAAAGAACACTTTCTAAACCTTTAGGTTACCATTAGGTCAAAACTACACACTGTTTAGATGCATCACAGATGAAACCACTAAACTCATTTTATGCGTTAGCCTATGATAAAAAGTAACTTTCAACTGTATGCTGCATGATTATTCCACAAACTACAATGAATATTCACCATTTAGCTAGTGAAGTTATTGTTTTCTTTTAATGTCTCACCTAATGATGTATGCTGCATTTACGCTGCAGGCCAACTGTCAAAAAGTTTTTGTCATTGTAGTGTGAACAGAGATTCAGTCAAACAGTCAGACAAAAATGAGTGGACCAAATCCAAAAGCTAAGTTTAATATCTGAAAAATGGATTCATGTAAGATGTTCAATGTCCAGAACTATCCCTGCCTTTCTGCTCTGCCCTTTCATTCAGTTGCACCTTTATTGTTACAACAACACGTACGCAGGCTAAACCAACATCCACAACTGCTGTATCAACTCTCCACAGAACTGGTATGAGAGTTCATACTGTTGTTCAGCGCTGCAGGATCTAGAAAAGAAAGAAAAAAGAAAACATGTCAACTTGCTGTTCGATGCAGAGGGTTGATGAGAAAGATAGAAGGGGGAGGAGATACTGGGATAGATTTGGGTTGTGATACACCAGCCTGTCTGTCTCTCTCACACACACACACACACGCACACACATGCACAGTCAAGGGTGTTACTGATGTTAACATAAGCTGAACGACTGCAGTGTCTTCTTTAACCTACTAGCAAGTTATTGCTGAACTGTCTAGGCATGCTGACTGCAATTACCAGTTGTGTGCTTGTGTATGTCCGTGTGTCAATGTTTATGTTTGAACATTAGCTTATGTCTGTGAGTGGGTGACTTTGAATGTGTGCACATGTGCAATTGGCTACTTTGGGATGCAGGTATGCATGTGTGGTTGTGTGTGCGTGTGTAACTTCCAACTTGCTGTGTGCTGATTGTGCATTCTTTGTGTGTCATTTTACTGTGTGTGTGTGTGTGTGTGTGTTTATATTCATGGGTTTGCCCACTGTACGTGTGTGTAGTCTAAATAGAGCAGTGTTTGTGATGAACCGAGAGAATAGTCATATTGTTGAGAAATCAAAACAAAAAGGCTTTGGTTTGAGCTGGGAGCGTCCTGTGATGACACATTGTGTGTCATTTACATGTATGTGTGTTGGTCTAGCGACATTACTGTACAAGGCTGAGTCGAGTTCAAAGGCTAGGTGGCTCTCTATTCCAGGGGCTGTTTACGTTAATACTATAGTGAGGGTTGAAGTGAGGCGGAGTGTGTTTGCTCGTGTGTTCAGACAATGCTGTAATGACAGGAGCAGGATGAGGGGCGGAGACGGCACACTTTTGGAAGATAGCAGGTCACCAGTGGTCTCAGCATTTTTCTTTACACTGCTGGAGTCACCTGACTTCCAGCAAGGAAAACAACATCTTCCTGCGTGACAATCAATTTATGGACTGTGGAATGTTGTTCCATAGTTTCTAGAGAGTACAAACTCACTTTTTTTTTTTTTTTTTTACATTTTTAAATTAGCTGGCAAGGATCAGTTGATGCTCAAACACAGCTCCTCTGTACACAGTGTTTTTCTGTTATTTTGGGTGTCAAGCAAGAAGTGGATGGATTCCATAGTCCCCCTTTACCAGAGGTTTCTAAAGCTTATGTACCAACTGACAACACTTTCAAGGAAGGGAGCAAGCAAATGTTCAACATTAGTTACAATAGGGTCACGACTTGTATGTGATTGGCAAATGTCTTTAAAGCAGCATTTTGGCACACCTCCCACATCCTCCTAGTAAACAGCTTTACCTATAGAACCTGAGTTTTTCAAGCCATTTTCTGTCAAAAATGATACCCCTTCATCTCCAGTCATAAAAACGCAAATTTGGAACGCACAGAAGTCATACACATACTGCTAGAAATAACTCATGCTGATGTTTGTTGGGGATTCTGTGTAAATAAAGGAAGTGAAAGCACATGCACAATGTTGCACATTCCAGCTTAACAAAGTCATGAAATGTGAGAAATGCAGGAAGAGAAGAATGAACAACTGTCAGTGAGTAGACGTGACAGGGAAAGAAGAAAGAGAAGAAAGATGAGACAGTGTCTTCGTCTCTGGCTCTCTGCCTGGATCCTCCACCACTTCCAGATCAAATTAACGACCCCAGAAATATTCTTTCAGTCTCTTTTTGAAAGGGTCAGTTTCAGCAAGATGACCGCCTGATGCTGGTCAAAGTCATGGTTGAGACTCTGTTGAGCTCGGTGTCAAAGTTCACTCCAGCTGAGGTCGCAGGGTCAGCGCTCCTTTTCTCACTTTTCTGGCACGACTGCAACATAAAAGTCAGTCTAAATAAAGTGTGGTATTTGTAATCATGACACACTGCAGCTGTGAAAGCAGAAAAGCTAAATAAAGCCTTTTTATGAAAGGCTGACAGCTATGAAGACTTTATTTATTCTGCAATAAAGTCAATAAATCTGACTTTAGTTATTAAGTGTTACGTTGTAAAGGCTGGGTTTGCCACCTGTAGAACTCCAGTCAAATGCATTCCAGGTCAGAACTTTTTTTTCACCAGCTCCTGAGGAAAATATCTTTTGGCTTTGTAAAATACTGTGTTTATTATTTTATGTCCTGTGCATGCTTCACTGCTGGTAAGTACTGCTTCTGTGAGCCTGGTCGTTTGGTGTAACTGGTGACAGTTTTGCATCTGGAGATATAGTTAGGGGTTAGTTTGCTAGACTAGCAAATGAAAACACTGAGCAGAAAGTTGCTGAAAGCTGTAGAGGACTCCACAGCAGGTGATAATGATCAACTCTAAGACATTTCATTGATTTAGTATTTAGGCTTAGGTTAAGTTTTCAGTATGTTATTTACACTACGATCACTTCAGATAAAGTTTGTTTCTTTTATGTTTTCCAGGATCTGCTCCACCTCTCAGAATATGACCTCTTGGAGCTCGGAGTCCACAATCACCTCCACCGTCTGCACCTTCTGACTTCTCTACGCCTCCTGCAGGAGCGGGAGAGGAGGAGAGGTACTCAGACACTCCCACACACAGCCACACGATTCATCAAACATTATCTTCCCTGATCTTTTCCATCACGTTGTTGATTCTGGTTCTGTGTTTGATTCCCAAAGTTTCCATCTCTCCCTTCCTCTTTCATTGCACTCAGAGAGCAGACAGAAAGACAGAGACAGATAGCATTAGTGTCATGTAAAGACATGCTTATGCCTGGGGGTCTGCTGGTGGGGAGGGGGTTGTCTGGCTGAGGACAATGCTGTATCACACACACACACACACACACACACACACACACACACACACACACACATACACACACAAATGTGAACACTTCCAAAGCTGTCAGTAAATAGGCAGAAGAGTGCTGAGGCCTGTAGTCCTGCTGGGTTTAATCACTTCTAGAGGTGTGTGTATAAGCCTGCATGTGTGTGTGTTTGTGTGTGTGTGTGGGTTTGTGACAGACTGCTTTGTTTGCACAGTTTCCCATGCATTATACTGTGAAATCTAGCTGTTGTCTTGGTGACTGAGTCACTCTTGACTCTACTTTTTACCAAGTGACTAAATAATTTTAGTGAATCTTGTTTCATGTGATCACGCAGGTTTAAAGGAAGTAATATTCTAGAGACAAAGTCAAAACAAGCAAAATAGCCAGTTTGCGATGAATACAATGCGTCACTTTCACTGCATGACTTCAAAAACCACAGTGTCTGTATTGGCTGAACTTCTGAAATTTTGTCAGAAGCCAGACTTTCTGAAGTTGTAAAAGGAAGCATGGACTATAAAGAGTCTCCTCCTATCCCATAGTTAACCTGGCAATTTGCAAGCCCATCTGGAATGGAGCGTCTTTAAAAACAAAAACAGGCCTCAAGTTGCGGTGAGTATAAAAAACTTTTCACCTACAGCACCTTGTCTGACAGCAGTTGAGTTTTGTGCATATCCCACTTTATTGCCAGTCATTTCCTCCGTTGGAGTGAAATGGTTGGTGATAAAAATAACGGAGGTCTCAGAAATAAGATGAGATACAATGGTAAAGGAGAGGTCTAAAAATGGTTCACATAAACTTTCACATATATGGCAAATCAGAAGTCTGTACCCTCTCTTCCCTCACAATAAAACACACAATGTTTTTTTTTTTGTCTTGTTGTAAACTGCCAAATAAATTGATTATAGTGCTCATAACCTTAAACCCACATACATTTTCAGTAAATACAGCCATGATTATGATACTTAATTAAATGGCCCATATAAAGCTACAACATTTTTTATATTTGTTTTGAAATTGAAGATATGAATAGAATGGACTTAGCAGAAGACTTTGGTAGTCCACTATGCATCACAAACTTCAGGTTAAGCTCAGTGTACTGATGCCTTGCTTTTTTGTGTGGTGTCTAGATGGAGAACCAAAATCTACCAATTGCTTTGTGTCTAACATAGTTATAATAAAATGGTAAAATTTGTATTTTAAAATGCATGCACTTCGCTGTGTAGCAAGCGAGAAAAAAAAGACCTGTTAATGGTGAAAAGTAGATCAGGAGATCACAGCGTCATTATGATTCATCCTCAGATAACCACGAATGCCTAAACTATAATTCATGACAGTTCGTGAGATACTTATGGAGTTGGTCGAAGTATTGGACCAAAAAACAGTTAGACAGACTGACATTGCCATTAAAAGAGCCACAGAATCATGTACCGTACTTTTCTTGAGCGCACCTGAATATAAAAATTCTATATATATACAAATTTGTACATATATAGGCCGCACTTGTCTATAAGCTGCAGGTGTCCATGTTGTAACATGAGATATTTACACAGAAATATATTTTTTTTAACTGTTAATCAAATATGTACCGTAAATGCTTTTTTTCCCAAACACTGCCTGTAACACGGCTGGTTAAAAAGAAAAAATACAGTAGCCTACCAGGAAAATCATTGATCGCTATCTTCATCTTCCTCCTGCGCACTAAAACCACTAAAGTCATCTTCTTCAGTGTCCGAATTGAACAACCTCAGAATTACTTCGTCACACACTTCCTCAGTTTCGTTGTCGCTCTTAATGTCACTTTTGTCTTGAGGCAAATATGTAAAAATTGTAAAAATCCATAAATTAGCCTCATCATTGTTCAAGCCACAGTGTTTAAAACGTGTGAAAAAAGGAGCGGCTTATAGTCCGGAAATTACAGTACCTAATAAACGACTAAATAGAGAGAACACCTCTATTAGCATCTCTACAGCAACACATATGTCTCATTTGATTAGAAAAAGAACAATGGAAGGAGATGGCAGTGTCCCACCAACACATTTTTATTGACAAGCAGCCAACGTCGGTGAGTAACAAATGAGCATGTAGCGCCAAGTGTGTCGACGAAACAACTGATGAGTACATTAGCTTTTACCCTCTTTGAAACATGTAAATTTTCACATTCCTGAGATCACTGCGTGACTGCTAATGGAGCCCCGACCTGCAGTTTGGAGACAGTTGCTGAGGTGAAGCAGCCTCCAGTTGAAATCACTCAGTCACTGACTACTGTGGTATTATCTGTCTGCCTGGCAGGCTGCCATCCCTATCATTACCACAAAGTCCAGATTTGTTCAGCTAATGGTATCCTTCCCACACACACCAAACACACACGCAGCATCCTCAAAAAATGTCAAGTCAACATGTGACCCAGATCGGAGCATTCCAGTGAGAGCACCTTCAGAATAAAACACATGCAACCGCACACACTGCATCCCGGGCACATATTAATTTGATCATATTACTTTTTGTTGGCAACAGTGTATAGTTACGTGGCTAGAATAGGAATCTGTCTGCATGTGTGTGTGCCAGGTACTTTCCTCGTTGGCAGGAATTAAAATGCAGCAGAGAAACAGAGATGCTCCAATTAGGTCAATTAAAGGGTGAAATCGGAGGCATCATCAAAACCCACATATGAATGTTTGAGGTATTTTAGTTGTTGGTTACACTTAGCTACAGATGTTGCTGCAGTTGGGAGGCTGTTGTTCTGTTAAAAAAAACAGCTGTAACCATACTGTGGTTGTTTTTGAAATTTTAAGTAGAAAATAGTCTTTTCTGATTATTACCACATTTCTTAACATAGAGAAGTTATAGATATTATTAATACAAACAGAACACTGAAGCATGCATTGGCATAGATTAAATCAAAACTAGTTTTGTATCACTTCAGTATGATATTCCTTCTAGCACTGGTATTTACAACAGCAACTTTTATTCAAACGCTGTAGTCATCTGAAAGCAGCTGGGATGTGTGTGATTTTCACTTGCAAGCTCTAATTTGGATCATGTGCTGGACATTTTCAAGGCAATGTACCACAACACACACCAATACACACAAACCAAGCAGAATGGATGGTTTTATTTAATCAAGAGAGTCTGCTTTTCTGCACCCCAGTATATAGAAAATGCTCAAATTATACACAGTAGTGTATACATGAACATTCTCTATTCAACTTCCTCAGGACGTCATGTGCACTGCTCACCAAATAGACAATCAAATATAAATAGCTGCACTGACAAGCAATATATATGTAGACTTCACCCTCCCAGTATACTTGTTAGTTAAGTGAACTATTGTGAGAAATGTGCAATCAAAGGGAAAGGCAATAATGTGCACATTAAAAGTGATCTTCTCAAACCTTATTGATCAACTGTATGACATAATCCACAGACAAAACTGTAAGTAAAAGAAACAGATTTTATTGCAGCACAGTACATGTATGTGTATGTAATCATGTGTGTTTAAGGAGTACATTAACACATTTCAGGGCTGCAAGGTGGCTCGGTGGTTAGCACCATCGCCTCGCAGCAAGAAGGTCGCCGGTTCGCGTCCTGGTGAGGACACCTGAGATCTTTCTGCGTGGAGTTTGCATGTTCTCCCCGTGCAGCGTGGGTTCTCTCCAGGTTCTCCGGTTTCCTCCCATAGTCCAAAAACATGTTGAGGTTAATTGGTGATTCTAAATTGTCCATAGGTGTGAATGTGAGTGTGCTTGGTTGTCTGTCTCTAAGAGTAGCCCTGTGATAGACTGGTGACCTGTCCAGGGTGTCCACTGCCTTCACCCTAAGCCAGCTGGGATAGACTCTAGCACCCCCCGCGACCCTAGTGAGGATGAAGCAGTGTATAGATAGATGGATTAGCACATTTCAGACAACAAAAATATTCCAAGACTTACAACATACATGCCTTTTAAAGAGGTTGTAGTAGCTATAGTATGTCTATAAACATATCTAATCTCCTACATGACCAGTGCCAAGGCCAAAATATCATGAAAAAACTACAAACAATGTCACTTTTTAAAATTGCACATTAAATGTTGACTGCTGCCTATGTTTGTGTATTTATTCACAAAAATAATGAACCTATAATATATTTTTTTAAATGTAGAACACCTCACGGATGGAGAAAGAAAGTCATTCACATAACATATAAATCCATTTTTGCATTATTTCATTCTCTCAATCAGGTTAACTCTTAGAGTTATACCAGCTATTATGTCCCAGGGTCAAATCTGTTTTGTCCTTTCTTATGCTATAGGAGCCGAGGAAGTAACACACACAGACCAACACACTTATATACGGTACCAATGCTAAACATGGAAAGCACAAGTTTTACATTGCTTGTGTGTGTGTGTGTTAAAAAGAGAGAGACGGCAGGTGTTCATGCAGTTCGTTTGCCTGATTGTGTCTCTGGTGGACACTGTCGTTACCATCGTAAAAGAAAGTGGTCATTTGGGGGTTAGTTGGTTTGTGGACCAAAGATAGCTCTTCAGTTCCACATTGACAATTACACACATTCATAGCTGTCATCCTGCTTGATGTACTACTGAGCTGTTGGTGGTTCGCTTTTTTTTCTTTTTTTCTTTTTTTTGCCGTGTTTATTACTGCAGTCGTTCTTGAAGGAGAGCAGAGATTCTCTATCATAGCTTATCTGCTCCAACACACTTGAAGGCCGTTCAGATTCAAGGTTTCAACCTGATGGTGTGGTCTTTTGGTTTTGTCTTACTGATTGGTTTGCAGATGTTCTAAAACTTGAAAAACATGTTGCCTATTTAATTATCCTGAGTCTTTCTTAAACTATATCCCATAATGTACACAACGCCAGCCTCATGTCTTTCGTCACTGCTGCTACTAAATATCTGTTTTTATTATGTATCAGCCAGTGAGGCCAATCTGACTACATTCTTCACAGACTGAGCTGTATTTCTATGATACATAAATGTCCAGTTGCTTTGCCATGTTTTTTATTGGTGTTCATAGAATTAAATTTAGTACCTACACATTTAATCAACAGCACAACCTTAACTGCGATTTACAGTTTACAAGAGGATGCACTTTTTTTTCTAGCGGAGATAAAGCACATAATTTACATCTTTTCCTCCACTATAAGAGATGTTTGAAAACTGACCTGCAGCAGCTCAATGCAGATGAATCATAGTTCATGTAAAGATGTATGTAGAGTATGTTTGTGTTGTGCTGCGCTGAGGGTTTACCTTGGCTTGTGCATGCAGATTTTTCTCCCACAACCTTTACATATCAGATAATTCATGTTATTAGTATACAAGGTGAACCAGGATAATGTGCTTCTCAAGGTGATAGCCTCATAAACATGACCTAAAGTTAATACTTAGTGTACTATAAACATCTTCCTCTTTCTGCCTGTGTGTGTGTCAGTAACACCAGCTGTGCAGTCAACATTCTACTATTATCTCTCACATGTCAAAACAGGGAATGTCTAGTTCCAAGAATTAGACTGATCCCAGATAGGAACTTAAGGAAAACTCACTTATCGTGGTAATTTATTCACCAGAGGGGTATACTACGAATCAACTTTCTTAGTCGACTCAGACTTTATGCACATTC